TATAGATAACTCTATGAAGACACGTATCGGTGTAGCATACAAGTTCTATGTGAAATGGCTACATTACTCCGAGATGAAGTATCACGTCTTACTCTTATTACTCAGGAAGGGTATTACGCTCCAGAGGCATATCATATTATCTCAGGAAGGGGTGTTACGTTAAGAAGATGTGTTACTTAGAATAGATGTCAAATGTTACGTTAGAAAGACGTGTTATACCAGGATAATGTGTGATATAGCTGAAATGGCCTGTTATTGTTGAAAGGCTGGAATGGCCTGTTGTTGAAAGGCTGGAATGGTCTGTTTAAAAGGCTAGAATGGCCTATTGTTGAGGCTAGAATGGCCTATTGTTGTCGAAGGCTGGATGAGGCTGAAATGGCCTATTATTATCGAAAGCTGGAATAGCCTATTATTATCGAAGGCTGGAATAGCCTGTTGTTGAGGCTGGAATGGCCTATTATTGTCGAAGGCTGGAATGGCCTATTATTATTGTTTAAGGCTGGAATGGCCTTTATCGTTGATGGGAGTTATATATAGCTTTATTTCTTGTTGAGTGAACTGGGAGCGTGGCTGCAGAGGAGTGTCGAAATGTGGCCCCCGCGCATCCATCATGTGTTTGGCCTCCGCGCATCCCAGCCACCATGTTTTCTAGCCATCTAATTTTGTACTATATTTAGAACCTGGCCCCGGAGAGGTTTTAAAGAATTAATCCGTCCGTTCTACACATTACATATCTGATATTCTAATCGTCTTTAAATATAGAAAGGTTTACGTTATTATTATAAATAATCTAATCGAATATCGCTTAATTATCTCTTTAATTATATATCTAAAAATTAAATATAACTTTATTACGTTTTCGTAACTTAGTGTTGCTTAGCCTAGCGTAACTTAGCGCCTTAACGTGTAACTACTTTCTTCTTTCCTTTATAGCTTTCTAATTAATCAATCAGAACCATATAAAGAAACACCTTTCTTCTTCGTGAAACTCCTTTTTCGAAGTACATATATACTTCTCCTACCTATAATCTTAATAAACTTTTTTTCTTTACTCTAGAACTAATTTGCTAAATCTTTTAATATTTTATATTTATTAAAAGAAAGAATATTCTTATAAATTATAAAGAGATTAATATATATAATTCGAAAATATCTTACTATCGTCGTCGAAGAGAAAATCGCGTATCTAAGCGTTTTTTATAATTTTCTTATTCGCTTAAATTCGTTTTAAATATATTAAGCGCGTTAAAATTATTTAAGATATATATTTTATACTTTCTTTAACTTCTAAGTAATATATTTTTAAGTTAATAAATATATATATAGAGAAAATAGCTTTAATACTCGATTTATTACGTTTCTAATAGTTTCTAGTCTAGCGTAACTTAACGTATTACTACTTTCTTTAATTTCGTTTCTTTATAGCTTTCTAGAATAATTAACTACTATTATATTAAGAAATATCTTTCTTTTATACGTAAAACTACTTTCTCGAAGTATATACTTACTTCTCGTACTCGTAATTCTAATACGATTTCTCTTAGATATTAATATAATTAAATTTATAATTTAATTATTATACTTAACTTATTATATAATCTTTTAATAATATTAAATATAATACGCTATTATCTAGAATTTAATTATTAAAAAATAATCGACTAAAGATAGATATTATAATTATTAGCGAAGAATATATATTCGAATAAGCTTATATAATAATAACGAGCTATTCGATTATAATAAAAAGTTTATATACTTATTTAATAATCTTGAAAGATTTATTACTCTCTTAATTAATATTAAAAGACTATATAATAATAGTTAAAAAAATAAAGAAAATCGCGATTTTCGAATAATGAAATAATTATTACGATAGGTTTATATAAATTAATAATCTATATAGCGATTCTAGAATTTTCTATATACTTTAAAAAAGGGGTATATCGTAATAAGCTTGTGATATGATTGATTCTCGAAGCGAGGCACGAGTATAGAGCTGGCTATAGGTACCTCGACTAGTCGTGAGTCTGAATTACTGAGACTAATAATAATAATAATAATAATAGTAATAGTTAAGATAACAACAATGTGGATAGCTTCTTCTCCTGGCTAGCTGGGATTCATAGCCCAGGTCTTAAGAGACTCTCCTGCTTTGGTTCCGCCCCACGCGGGTTCCAGATTTCGTCGCACACCCTAACCACATTTGGGGAAGCGACTTGGCGTTAGGGTGTGCGACGAATTCTGGAACCCGCGTGCGCCCCAAGAGTCTAGTCCTTTTCACCTGGCTGGATGACCAGGCTACTCGGCCCTCTGCTCTCTTCTCATTGCCTTTTCTAGCTTTGGTGTTGCTGAAAGTCAGGACTGGTGGCTGCACTGGCTGGCTAAAAACTTGCACCGTCGTCGAGGAGATACGACCGAGCACATGATCGAAAGATGTTGGGACCGAGTCCTCCATGTTAGCATGCTTTGCACGGGTACCTGTGAAAGGTATAAAAGAGTGCATCTTTCCTCTCATCGTACATTCCTCAGTCAAGCATTCCCAGTGATTGAATCAAAGAGTCAAAGACACTGTTCTCTGCAATCACTCAACACTCTTATCCGTGACCATGCATACTGCACTATGTATTGCTGCTCTGGCAGGCCTTGCTTACTCTGCCCCTCAATTGATCAACCTGGATGAAATCGCTTTGGATTTTGCGAAACCGGTCTTGGTCAAGGCACCCGTCAACGTTGTCTCCAACATCCCAGCACCGTCCATTGCCCCCACAATCCTTCCCCTCCTGAGCACATCAGCGAAGAAGCGAGACCTTGAGGTGGAAAAGCGAGATGGCGACTGCTCACCTTACCCTGCCGGGTCCGGACCCGTTCCCAGCCCGGATACTCCTGCTGCTTTCCAGTCAGACCCCGACTTTGCGGTTCGTCTTTGCCATCGAACAACGCTTGCGGAATAGCCATTCTAACATCATGACTAGAATATGGCCAACGATGCTCCGACTCCGGACGGATATGCCGTGGTTTTCAACAACCTTGGTGCATCCCTGCAGGCTTCCAATTACAAGGGTCTCTACACCCTCACTAGCTATGACACCCTGACCTGCGCTTCCTATTGCGATCAAGCATCTGGTTGTTCCGCCTTCAACATCTACCTTGAGCGCGACCCCACGGTGAACCCCAACGCAGTGAGCTGCCCCAACCCGCCAAGCACGACGAACTTCAAGTGCACGCTATGGGGCGCTCCTGTGTCATCAGCAGAGGCAACCAACTCAGGGCAGTACCAAGACTCATTCCAGGTTGTCATTGCTGGCTCAAACGGTTGGTTTTCCTCTGTACGGTATACTGATCCATCCTTCTAACAGTTATGAACAGCTTATAACAAAGATGCCCCACCGCCTGCCGTCAGCGGCTACGTTGGTCCCCAGGAACTTGGCGGAGCGATCAATGCTCCAACCAGCTCGGGCAGCTACATCGGCTACCAATACTTCCCTTTCAGCCAAAGCCAAGGCTACGACCCACAGACGTGCGGGGATGCTTGCGATGCTCAAACGACTTATGATAGCCAGCACCCAGCAGCTGACGGGAGCTTTATGTCATGCGTACGTGTTCAATGAATGCCCCTGCTACACAACGTGCCCTTGTACTCATATCCTCCAGGTATTCTTCAATGCTTACGTTCTTTCCGAGAACGCTATCCCACAAGGTCTCTACTGCTCCTTGTACAATGAGACCTGGGGACCCTCGTACGGCACAAACTACGGCCAGTACCGCGGTTCTGACCGTTATACAGTGTCGGAATCCTACAGCTACACCAAGAGCTCGTAAGTGGTTCTGCGATTTCAGGTGGCGTTTTGTTTCTTGTCTACTTAAAGCTGGCGGCGGGCGTTGTAAATAGCCGTAATCAGATACAGTTGAATGAACTCATGTTCTCCATTTCACCATTGGGAAAATTCAACCTTTCATTGTTTGGGTGTCAGGAGCTATGGGTGGAGACTCAGCAGATGGGTTGGTTTGATGCCCAGGTATTACGATACCAATGAACCACCAATAGAGTCGTTTTGTACCCCCAGTCCGGTATCACCGGCGACCTCTGCAATATTTTCAGTGTCCTCGCCCTCTTATTCTTCTGCATCTTCATGTTCAACGCCGCCCTCATCAGCCTTCACTGCGGTATCCTCCCTCGCGTCCTCTTCAATGTCAACCTCGGCTTCCTCATGACCACCAACCTCTTCATTGTCACATTTGGCTTCCTCGCCAGTATGACCACCAACCTCTTCATCGATCCCCCAGACCACCTCAACGCCTACCTCTACTTGCGTCCCTACTCCATCAAACAATGTTGTGCAAAATGGCGGTTTCGAATACGGCATTTCCCCATGGATCGCAGCAGACGCAATCGATACCAAACATTCTGTCAGTTCCCCGGGTGACAACTCCATGTTCGCTTTACGAATTCGATCAAACGGGCGCAATTGATCCCAGCACACGCTTGAATCCGGCGAGCGTGAATCAAGATCTAGTCGTCACCGCCGGTCAAACGTATACACTGACATTCCGAACCTCCTCGGACGCTTGCACTACGTCGGAAGGCTTTGTGGGCGTAATGTTGAACCATGCCCCGGTATATACGGTCGACGCTTGCGATTTTGGGCCAGGGACGTATAGAGACAATACCGTCAACTTTACGGCGACGGTCAGTCCATAATACTTGCGGTTTGGGTTCGAGGTTGGTAAGACGACTGCGGTCGTGAAGATTGACAATGGTACGTCCATTTTCAGGGCAAAATCTTCCTATCCTGGATCACGCTATGAGTCGCGAGACATATTTTGGGAACGAAAGGCTCCCAATTCCCCTTCGGCCTGTCTCATTACTCAAGCTCTTGCCTTGAAGAAGGAACGCTGATTCTGATATATTTATAGTGGCGGTGGTGCCGGTGTCCTCACCAGCGCCGGCGTTAGTTTCCTCCTCGATTTCCCCAGCAGCGACCACAGCAGCATCCGCATCATGCGGTAGCCCCGTCATCCAAAACGGCGGCCTCGAAACCTGTAACCACTCGCCCTGGGCCGTGACGGATATTGTCGGCCAAAGTACCCACAGCATCGTCACGCCCGGCAGTACCAACCCCGGCAGTACCAACCCCGGCAGTACCAACCCCGGCCGCAACACTTACGCCTTCGATGCCTCTCTGCTCCTGCTGACCTCTCCTTAGAACCGCGTCTGCTCTCTCACCCTGCAGCAGACGTTGAACACCTGCGCCGGAACGAAATACTCCATCACGCTGGAGTACAAACTCGACTCGTCGAATCTCGGCGAGTGTCCGATCAAGGTCGAGTATCCGTACAGGACCACGACGGGCAGCGTGTCCGAGAACAGTCATGTTTCCCCGGTCCGGGTGTGGGACACGATGGTCGCGACGTTCGAGGCCGTGAGCAATGCCGACGTGCTCATGATCGTGTTGAGCTGTACGAATGGGGGGTCGGATGTTGAGGTGGATAATGTCAAGGTTGCATACGATCCCGGAAATGCATATTGATGGTGGTGGATCTGGTTCTGAGCGCAGGCGTTGATACAACGGTACGTTATTCCAAAATCCCTCCTTCCTGTTCTTGATACTCCAGTCTGGGCTGTGAAACATTTTTTGGGAGCAAAAAAGGGACCTCTTCACCAGTTATTACTCAGAGACTGTCCTTACGACTCCACTGCTTGTCACAAGAGGGGCTTCTTTTCCCTTTCCCCTGCTCCTAGACTTGTGTCTGACGATTCGACTTCCTGTCACGCAATGGGCTTCTTTCCGTCGTTGTGCTCCTCAGACTTCTCTTAAGAGTTGAGTCTCTCTCTCTCTCGAAAAAGGCATGCATGCTGACTCGGGAATGATCATCAGGATATACGGTCGGGATAATACAAATAATAGACGGTCCCAGGTGTTGGGACACTGGATAGACGGTCGATATAATACAAAGGGTAGAAGGGCCAATATAATGCAAAGGGGTAGAACTGTCGATGTACAATGGGCACTTCTCTTCTCAAGCATTTGTGGATAAACCACTTTGTTTCGTTACTTGCTCACGTTCACAGTTTCGAGCATACCAGGCAAGCTGCTGACGGAATGGCAGTCGGAGGCGCTGGAAACCATTCATCTTTCCCTCGATTTCGGGCATCAACCTGGGATGTTGTGTTGCTCATGATAGCAACTGCTCCTGGAGAAGTGATAGAGAATGCAAAAATGTAATATTTCAACTGCCAGTGTTTTATGGACCCTGCCTGACGCTCACGACGAACAACTACACTGCATCATTCGCCCATGCCTCGGAACATCGCCACACCACCTCTCCTCTTCCTCCCTATCGCCTCCCCATTCCTCCTCAAATGGATGCTCTGCCATCGCCATGACCCTCTTAATTACATCCCTCTTCCCGTCATGTTCCACCTTCTGAATAATCTCGTCCAATACCCAGGATCTGGGTACAAACTTCGGATTCGCCTTCTTCATCTCCTTCTCCCTCTCTTCATCCCTCTCACCCCAGTCTTCGCTAACTCTCTTCGCCCATTTGTCTAGCCACGCAGCAACCCTCTCCCGTGCTGCGGCTTCTGTGACACCGCTCGTGGCGGTCATACCTTCCGCGTGGAAAAAGACGCTCGCTTTCTGCTTTCGCTGCTCATCAGACTCCAAGTCGGAGACTTTGACGGCACTTAGCCTTCGGAAGAAGTGGTTGAAGTCCAACTCCAATGACTCAAGCGTATCCAGCAACTCGGAGAATAGCTCTTGAAAATCGCTCTCTTTTTCTGAGAACAAGCCGAGCCTTGCGCGCATCAAGCGTGTATATTCAGCTAAGAAAATAGTTTTATATTCGTCGCCCACGTTTCCGATGATAGTCTCAGCACGCTTGATTAGCTCCGGCGCAAAATCCTCTGAGACGCCCTTATCCACAAAGGTTTGATCATCGATTTTGGCGCCAGAGCCGATGAGTTCACCCAATGATTCGCCCAGGCGCACGAGGTTCCACCATATAACACTTGGCTGGTTCTTGTAGCTGTACCGTAAAGCGTGATCATCGTGATTTGGGGTGTAGCTGGGATCGAAGTTGTCAAGGAAAGCAAAGGGCCCAAAGTCGAGGGAAAGCCCAAGGAGAGATGTATTGTCGGTATTCAGGACGCCATTTGTGAAAGCGTAAGCTTGCCAGGCGGCGACGGTTTTGGCGTTACGACGGGCAATTTCGCGATAGAGGCGTGTATAACGATTCTCTTCTATTCCTTGCGCACCTTCTATCTTATGAGATGGGACGGAGCGGGGAGGATTGATAGCGGATGGGCCGGGCTTCGATGGATCTTCCAGAGCCGACGGGAGAGACTCCCAGCCCGTGTAGACGTGCTCAGCGATGTAGTTCGCGAGAGTGCGGACAAGTTTTCTGTCGCCTCGAGCGCGGATTATGTCGAAGGTACCGATTCGTAGCCAGGATTCGCTGGACGAGAAATTCGCCGTCAGTGTTGACTATTTGATAGGGGGTATATGTTTGAAGGCCATGGAGCAAAAGAGAAAATATGCATTCGGAAAATACGTACGCAAAGCGGGCCACTACTGCTCCAGGCTCAAGTCGTTCGCGACGAACGGTAGATTTTGGGGCAAGTGTGAGGGCAAGGGCCCGGGTAGTAGGGATGTGCAGGCCATTGAGCGCTTCTGAAACGACGAACTCGCGAATGCTTGAGCGTAAAACGGCTTTTCCATCTGCAAATCTCGAGTAAGGGGTCCTGCCGGCGCCCTTAAGCTGTATCTCGTAGCGAGTCTTCGTCGATGGATTGGTGGATTCGAACAGTGATATTGCTCGACCGTCGCCAAGTTGGCCTGCCCAAGAGCCGAATTGCCAGCCTCCATAGCATTGCGCCCAGGGGTATATTCCCTCCTCTGTCTGATTGTCCCAGTAGAGCTTGTTTCCCGCCACCACGTTCTTAAACTCTTCCGTGTTCTCTACACCATCCTTCAATCCAATATCGTGCAATGCACTTCGGCTGATCCCCAAAAGCTCAGGGGTTTCTGTTTCTTCCGGCCTGACATAAGTGAAGAGTGCGCCTTTGACCATGCGAGGGCCTAGGTCTCCTCGCGGTGCCCTGTGAGAGTCGGAGGGCGTTTTGAATTCAGGATCTGGGGGTAAGTTTGCTGTGAAGGTGTGTGATTTAGGAAGTTCTTGCAATGATACACCAGAGTAGGTGCCGTTGCTGACCCCTTTCGTGGCGCCACTCGTGAGATGGGCGGTCATTTGCGCGAGGCGAAGGTGCGGAATATGTGGACGATGTAGCAAGGTATGGAGAAGCATATACAACATCAAATGTTGATACTCGTATAGTCAGAATTGCAGATATCGCAGAGAGAGCATTGCAATGAGCAAATGGTGAAAATGCGAAAGAGAAAAAGAATGCCGTCGTCAGCAATATGACGTTTGAAGGCGGACTTATTCCGAGATATTATCTCCGCAGAGCGAACTTCTTCCTGACGTAGTCAACGCGACTATCCTACAAGACTTAAGCACTACTTCAAAGATGGCGAACATCCCGACGCCTATTCCCCAGTTGGAACTCAACGATGGAACATCGATCCCTATGCTTGCCTATGGCAGTAAGTCTTTTACTCATTTGCTGCGTTTACCCATCGTTCTGACAGTCCCAAGCCGGGACTGCTTGGTATAAGTCCACCGAAGGCGGCGTCGACCGAAAGACCGTTGAGGGCATCAAGACCGCCATCAAGCTTGGTTATTACCACCTTGACAATGCGGAGGTATATAATACAGAGCCTGAAGTGGGAGTTGCCATTAAAGAAAGCAAAATTGAACGATCGAAGCTCTTCGTAACGACAAAAGTAATCACCAACATAGCGGACATACCCAAAGCAATCGATGCAAGCCTCAAGAAACTGCAATTAGACTACGTTGACTTGTATCTGATTCACTCGCCATTCTTCGCTAAGTCAGATGAAGACCTACAGACAGCGTGGATGGCCATGGAGGGTGTGAAGAAGTCTGGAAAAGCTAAATCAATAGGAGTCTCCAATTACCTTGAATCCCACTTGAAGGCCACACTCGCTACCGCCAATACGCCCCCTTCAATCAATCAAATTGAGTTTCATCCGTACCTGCAACGTGGCTCTCTCCTATCCTACCACAAGTCTCAGAACATTGCTGTCTCTGCATACAGTCCCCTAACCGCTGTCACAAAAGCCAAGCCTGGACCTTGCGATGAGATGCTGGCGTTCTTGGCGAAGAAGTATTTTGTTAGCGAGGGCGAGATTTCATTGCGGTGGTGCATTGACCAGGGTGTGGTGGCGATCACAACGAGTGGGAAGGAAGAGAGATTGAGTGCTTATTTGAGGGCAATGACATTCACACTAACACCAAAGGAGGTCAAAGATTTGGCGGGAATCGGTACAGAGAAGCATTATAGGGGATTCTGGCAGGCGAAGTTTGATGAGAATGACAGATCTTGAGGGAAATCGCAAGCTGGTCGTTCGTGGGCACTCGGTATATGATTCGAGCCGTGATTAAATTAATTACTAGCATGACCAATAGTGCACTAATTCCAGCCAAAAAAATGATATCTGGATCTGGTATACAACCATCCGAACGCCATGCATATGCTCGTTGCATTCTTCCAAGAGAGCCAACCACGTATCTGCAAACATGACTCCTCAACCGTAATATCACACAAATTCGGTCCCTTCCCTGCAAGCACCACCCTCGCAGACCATGACACAATCTTTCTCTGCATCCATCTGCTTGAGAAGCTCATTACGCTCCCTCAACCACGCGCCCTTACTCTTTCCAAGCGCAACCACAGTACTGTTGGGCCTTACGGTCTGCCTCAATCGCTTCAGCATCTCGTCATTTTCTCCTGTAAGTACAACGCCCTTCAAGCCTGAATGACCCATGACGATGCTCCCCAACATGCCTGAAAAGGTGAATGGAAATTGCTCGACCTCGGCCTCAAACGCTTCGACCGTCTCTTTCGCCTTCTTGAAATAGGAGGCGTCGTCAAGCATGCTGCTCAAGCGGTAGAGATTCCGGGCACTGATATTGTTGGATGATGGCTCAGCGGCATCCATGCCGCTTTTCAATCTCATGAGGAGATCTGGTGGATGCGGAGATGGCGTGGAGTAGAAGCCTGGAGAATCCGAAGAGGTGAATAACTCGTTTTGTCGTTTCTGCAGTACGTCTGCAAACTGTAAATATGAGTCGTCAAATGTGGTTTCATATAGATCAATGAGACCGTGAATGAAGAAAGCATAGTCATCACACAAACCCGGTGTAGAGCCTCGGCCTTCCCGGTAGACCCGGTACAGGGTCTTGGTGTCAGGGTCAAAGAGCTCTTTTCTGATGAAGACGACAGCAGAGATGGCGGCTTCCAGGCATTCTGAGGCTTTGGTAGGGTCGATGGACCGTAAAGCGGCAGAGGTGCGAGATAACGCACCGATTGCGAGACCATTCCAGCAGACGATGATCTTGTCGTCGAGGGCGGGGCGTGGCCGATGATTCTCCCTGTGTTCGCGGAGCTTCTGCCGCCCTGATTTGAGGGTTTGGGTGATCGAGGCCTCGGGGATCCCCAACTTCTTGGCCAATGCACTGGGAGTGGTGGTAACATTCAACACGTTTTGACTTATAAATTCATCGTGGGGATCGTTCCGAGATGCGACGTTGCCATCAGCCGTGACACCGTAAAATCGAGCACAGATGTCCCCATCCTTCTCACCCAGAACGTCATGGAATTCTTTGAGAGACCAGACGTAATAAGCCCCTTCTCGTTTGTCAGTGTCGCTTTTTGTCGGGTAAGAATCGGCGTCTTCTGCTGAGAAAAAGCCCCCAGTCGGAGCACCCATTGGTGGGCTTGTGAGGTAGGTTGCAATATCGTACACAGCGCCGAGCATCTCAGGATCCCGAGTGCTCAGGAACGCGTCGAGATAGACATCCAAAAGTTGCGCTTGATCGTACAGCATTTTCTCAAAATGTGGAAGCGACCAGTCTTTGGTCACGGAATACCTCGCAAAACCGTAGCCAATTTGATCTCTGATCCCTCCACGTGCCATGTTTCGAAGGGTGTGTACAGCCATACTCGAGGCATTTTGGCACTCTGTTTCGCCCACAACATCCTTTACTGTCTGCGGCCACTGTCCGAGCCTCAGTAGAAAGCTGAGATTCACCGGCGTTGGGAATTTTGGCGCAGTCGAGAAACCTCCATTGATTTTGTCGTACTTCTTCCTAAAGTGCTGAAACGCCTCTTCCAGTAACTCAACCTCTAGTCCTCCACCTCCGCCTTTCTCTCCCATCTGATGACTATGCACGCCTTCTTCTGCAAATTCTCTCAGTTGCCTCGTGATGTCCTTGGCGCTTTCTCGGCATCGGCCCTCTTGCTGAGTCCAGACATCTCTCATTTTTTCCAGTATATCCACGAAGCCTACAGTCCCAGCAACAGCTGTGCCGACTGCTGTCATTGAACTGTTTGAACCAGGCCAATATGTTCCACCAAACACTGGCTCGAGATCCGGTGTAATAAAAACATTGAGTGGCCATCCTCCAGACCCGGTTGTAGCTTGAACGTAATTCATGTAGATAGCATCGACATCTGGTCGTTCTTCACGGTCGATCTTGATGGGGATGAAGTGGGTATTGAGAAGTTGAGCGACGTCTGGAGAGCAAAAAGATTCGCGTTCCATGACGTGGCACCCTGGTAAATCACGATAAGGAAAGCTCTTGGAGAGGAAGATGTGTTAGAATGATAGCTCTGACGTACAATGGCATGCAGCATATCCAATGCTCACGAAAAGTAGGCGATTGTGCTTCTTAGCCAAGCTCAAAGCTTCAGGGTCCCACATCTGCCATGCTACTGGGTTGGTCCTGTGTCCTCGGACCTATGCGAGAAGCCTCTCAGCTTGAGTGTTTTCATCGTTGGCCTCGAAGCGACAGAGTAGGACTTACGTACGGACTCCTACTCTCATTCAGCCTATTGACCAGTCGCAAATCATCCTGACCATTTCTACCATTCTCAACCTCCATGGCTGAGCTCTGGCGCACTTTCGGAGCTCCGTGTGTCTGATGGAATGGCCGTTTTTGACATTCGGAAGCCCGCCCTGCCCAGCTCCTGGGTGTTGTAGGCCTTACATACGCTGCTTGAGACCAAATTCGTCGATGACCTGATCGCCTAAGTTCCAAAAACGACCGGTTAGCTGACACAAGAAAGCTGAGCCTTTGGAAAGTTCTTTGTGAAGCCAGACTGTTTGGGTGCTTTGGTGGTGCACCAGGAGCGTCATTGGCCAACCGATAAGTTATCCATAGGGCTGAACCAAGACTTGCCGGGCAAACTTCTTTCATCGCTCTGTCACTCTATTCTCATAGTTATATAAATAAGTGGTATGGCCCTGCTAGTTCCTGGGCCTAGCTGGTCGAAGTTTTCCTGCGGCCGCTTATTATACGAAAAGATCGAAAGCCACCTATCTATTAATCCGAGGTAAGTAAGGACGATTGAGAGACAAACAAACTCAGAACATATCGTCAATAGCCTGCTTTTGCCTCTTGTAGAGCGGCAACTGAGTAATATACTTGTTATCACGCAAAAGTTTCAATGAAGCTTCACCAATCCATGAGATCGGGAAAAAGTTCGACAGTCCAGGTTCTCCACACAGAAACACATAAAAAGGATAGAAGCGCGATCACTTATCCAGACTCGGTCCTGCAAGAAAGAGATCTTGCTACAAACGATAGCCAACTTTGTCCGTGTACATACCAAAGAACAAGGTACAGACTCCAATGGCTAAGGGCCACAAGATCCTGATTTGCCTGAATGTGGCATGTGGCATGTTTGCTGCTGATTGCGTTGTAACAGACCCTAAAACATCCTGCTTGACCATTATTCTTCGCTCCTGTAGCTTGCTGCTATATTCCCCTTCGTCCAGCTTTCTGATGCCGATTCATAAACGTAGAAAGTATGCAGGGCTTAAATAACCCATCGGCTAGCAGTTTTCGTGTGAAATTAAAGTGTGTTGGCAGGTGGGGCTAAACCCATGACCTCTTACAAGAAGCCAGCCCATGGGATACTTGTGAGTAGTTGCATGTTGGTGTGATTGAGAGTACTTTAAGAAGCCAAACTCGATTTGGCTCGCCAGGTTTTTGCCTTCTTCTCGCGATTACATTGTCTCTGTCAGGCCAATAAATTAGCACTGGTAGCAAATGGTTTGGGTCTTCTACTATCTACAGGAAAATGTCGCTAAAATTTGGAGTCACCGCTTCATCTACCAAAGCTTGTTGATGGTATAGACTTTTCCAGAAGTGGCTCGCCAACTGCCTTTGGAGAGAAAAATGTTGGTATACCCGCTTAGGATGGCAGCATTACTGCTTAAAGACAATGTGATGACTGGCTACCAAAGATTCCTGTCCTTTGTATGGATTAACGCGCTTCAAATATCATTTTTCGGTAGCAGAGATGGCGCCTCAACCATGTCAACAAGGCACCCTTATAGCTTTCATTTGTGAGTCTAAAAACGTGGGCGCAGTACAATGCCAATTCCATCGGTCTCTTGAGCGCTTCTGTATCGACGAATATCGCGCTTGAGCTCATACGCCGCTTGACAGAGGACCTTATGACCTCTGAGACACTTGGTGAACGACGAACGCCATCGGCTGCTCTTTGGTTAGTTGGCAACGCACCAGCGCCTCCATAAACTCCTCTCCCTGATCTACGTGGCCTTGCAGCAAGACGTGAAAGATGTGAAAGACAGGTACGATGCGCCTCTCGACCAGAATAGCCTCGCTCAGCCGCATGTACGGCTCATTTTGCATTGGCGCCACGGCTCAGGTCATGGTGAAAAAAGCCGCCCACGTCCTGGCTATTCTCGTTAGGAAGCATGGATACGATATTGGGATACAGCGACTGCAGTATAACCAAGATGGTTTCGATTCGCCGCAACTAGCGGCAATACTCCAGCAGAACAACGTGGGACCGCCTAAGCTGTTTGTGAAGGAGAAGAAAGGCTTTGGGAAAGCGTTTGGGTCGTACATGAAAGGTGCTTTCTCCTGGAATACAAATTGATGTGCATTAGAGAACATGATAGGATCAAATGCATGGCGTGAAACACTACATGGGGAGAAAGCAATGGCCTGATAGGCTGACGCTACCCGGTTGGTGGCTACCAACTACTACGGTTCAGCTATTTCTGTTCCAGGTACTGCTGTTGGACAAGAGGAGAAGTCTTTGAATACTCTATGGATGTAGGAAAGTTGCCTAAGTCCCTTAGACGTGCCAAGCTCGCTAGAGTAAGGCCCTTCGGATTAGCTAACCACAGAACCAGTCAGTGGACTAACCCAAAGGGGTTAAGCGATCTTGGCACGTCTGAGGCAAAAGCGCCCCTACGGAATTCAATATTGCCCACGTCTGTGTAACTCCGCTAAGCCTCACTAAGATCTAGCCGTGCTCGCCGTGTACTTGAAAACAAGCCTCACTGATCAGCCTTGTCTCATGAGAATATAGTTCCTTGGAGAATCCTTGGAGAAGAATAGCGAAAAATGGCGGAGGGCGATGAGGGTTTTATTTCTCGAAAACAATGCTGTCGAAATTGGCCGCTCTAGTGCCGACGACGACGCCAATGCCACAATTCTCCGAAAAAAGAGCATGGCCAAAGCACTTAACAAATGGACTACTTCGGAGAAAGCAGGCTTCGTCTGCGTAGGGACCCACAAGCTCTACGTCTCAACCTCCGGGCCCATTCGCATACCAGGCGACCCGTTACTGATCGTCTTCCCGGGCGCGAACGCCGCCTGCGAATCTTGGGAACCGGTATCATCTCTCCTCCAAGACACCGTACGTGTCCTTCTTTACGACCGCTCGGGGCTAGGCCGCAGCGAACACGGTCCAAATCGGGATACTGGACCCGTAGCAGCGGACGAGCTCTCCAAGCTGCTCCAAGCCGTTAACCTGCCCGGTCCGTATGTCCTTGTGGCGCACTCTTACGGCGGCTGTGTGGCTCGAGAGTTTCTGCACCTGCACGCCAGGGACGTGGTAGGCATGGTGCTTTCGGAGACGGGCACGGAGACCAAGAGTCGGTATGCTGAGGAGCAGTATCGGAGACAGGTGCTTGGTCATCGTCCGCTGAGCGTTATTCGGGGCGAGTCCGCTTTCAGCGCGCGGCGGGGTGAGGATGTTAGCGTGTCAGATGAGCAGCGCAGAGCGCGTGATGGCATGCTTGAGGCTATGGATAAAGCTGACGAGCAGTTGAAGAGAGAGCAGTTGAGGTTGTCAAGGAATAATAGGTTCAGGAATGTCCCCGACTGTGGACACAACGTCCATCTCAGTCGTCCTGATGTCGTCGCTGAGGAGGTTAAATGGGTTTTGTCAAATCTAATGACAGTGAGAGCAAAGAGGAGTTGGGTCGGGTTCACAGATCCACGATTATTGTTCGGGTTTGTCAGGTCTTGGGGCTTTCTTGACCGCAGGTGACTGCACTTTAGGGAGGTGCTTGAATAATTTTAGTGGGATATTGGGTCCTCTTACCCGAGCTAGGCTCGTCCACTCACGTGTCATCTTGCCAGCTGGATCAGATTGAAGTGTGTAGCCATGCACCGCTGCGACCGATGACCCTGCGTTACATGGGGAAAAGGGTAGTTAAAAGCAAAAAAAAGACAACCCGGACGGCTAAGGCCTCGAGTTTGATCTAGAATAAATGATAGTTCCCCTAAAAGCCAAGCTTACACTGCCCAATATATACGATGAAGACAACAGACTAATGGCTGTACCAAACAAAGAAATCAACACATTCCAAATCTAAAGATCTGGTCCCGTAAGTCCATTTTCTGTCATCTGCACAATGCCATGGCCCAACGGTGCTTTCACAGCCTCATATTCCCTATCGACGTTGCCTATTCCAAATTCGTTAGTCTCGCTTCACAGTCTCTTTATTGAGCTTCGGACAAGGTTCTTACCTGCGGGATAGTAATTGCAGACGGTGAAGACAGCGGGAGTACCACCATCAGGGCCACAATTCGTATTCGCTAGATATGGTTGGCCATTCGCATTGCAGTCTTGCGTAGTAGGTTGACCGGCGGGGGAGCAATCATAAGTATAGCAGCCAACGGAGGTTGTATCGCTCCACACCATTTGACTGAAGTGGCCCCACTGCTCAAACTGTGAGCCGTCTGGGACATCTTGGCCGTACGGCAGGGGGTAATTCTCAATCTCATCGTTGTACAGCATATTGGTGAGCAGAGCAGAGATGTTGCCAGCATCGATCCCAGCTCCGATGTTCTGTCCGTAATTACCGTCGCCTGCGGCCCTGCCAAATTGTGAGCGCTAGAGCTTGCGGCAGGATGGGTATACTTACTTGCTGTGCTTATAGAAGCATGTCTTGGCGATCTGCTCAGCGTATGAAGCTAAAGTACTGTTATACACCAGATCTGGGACAGAATGGTTGGCACGATGGACGTTGTGGTTTAGCAGGACCAGTCCCTGGTATGTGGCGCTCTCGGTGTCAAGATTAGGTTGGTAGGTCAGCGGAAGACCGGTCGTGGATGGCGGAGAAGTCTCTGCAGCTACTGGCGCGACAGAAGTTGCCGTGTTTGCAGGCGATTGAGCTTGCACCGCATCTACTTTAACAACTACTGAGGTTGCGGCGGTGGGTGCTGGTTGATTTGCCCCTTCATGTACTGTCACGACATCGTGGACCACAGCAGTCCTGACAATCTCGTCAAGCACAGTGTCCATGATTGGACTGGCCATAACGCTGGCTGCAAATAGGAGAGGAGTCAGACTGGAAGACCGCATGATGGTTCCGAGTTTCGCTTTTGGTAAAGACAGGATTTGGGATCACGGATCGCCAGAGAAACTGTAAGGATAGGTAGATGCTGAGGAGTGTCAAAAAGATTGAAGATGATGCGAAGGACAGGTAGACAAATAATTGACCCAATCCAAGGGGTCGGACTCGGTCAACAAGAAAAGTCAGAGGCGGTCGACTGGCGAAACGACGTTCAAGGAATGGAATGGGAAAGCAAAGACAGTGTGAAAAAGGGGATTCTGGAATGAAAGAGCGGAAGATGTGTTTTTCGAAGGAAGGTGCTGGGTAAAGACAGTGAGAAGACCAGGAAGAACTCGGACTTTTGGGGAAATGTAGAAAAGGGTGAAAAGTGGAATGAATGGGAGCAAAGTTTGCTCTCTCATGCTATGCATTCTAGACTCGACGGCGTAAATGCAGCAAGTCCACCTTTGTCCCTTGGATACGCGTGGACCGAACATACCTCAAAGCATTTTCGGAAGTTCTTTGTCAACCCAAATTAGAAGGTGGAGGTACAAAGCATAGTGGTAACGCCGCAGCCGCAGCGTTCATTCTCCTGCTATCTTTTTTTCTTTTCAATGAAAGCCTTCAGTTTCTATCATCAAAGATTTTGAGCCACGAGCTCCATAGTGGGTTCTACCATTGAGTCCAGCCTCAAATCTGCTTGAGGCCTGAGCCCTCGTCTTGACTCTTTGAGTCAAACCCACAGAGTTGCAAAAGGCCCGAAGCACCATCGTCATGATGTTGCGTAATGCAGCATCCCCCACACTTGAACTATAGGTACGATTTAGTAGATACATATGAACCGTGGGCTCGTAGTTGTGGTCGTCGTTAGCAGTCCAAGCGCGGCAAGCGTCGCGGTTTGATGCCAAGGCGCTAAAGCTATCCATTCACCCCCTATCGCCTGTCATGCTTTTTTGAACAGACCTTGTCACGGGACTGATGCTGATCTCTTTTGCGGAAACGCTCTCAAGTTCAAAACTGACGTTGCCGAGACGTCTCATGTGGCATGTGGCTTGATCGTAACCATAACGGCTTTACATCCCCGCTGTTGAAGATCAATTGTCGGCGATGACCGGATGCAAAACCCTGACGCTCGTTAACAGGCATCCCTATATCCGTCATATTCAAAACTGTATATGAAGAGTAAGCGACCGTAAGCTTAGGGGTTTTCATGGACATTTTCGGGCGAATCGACTATATACAGGTGGTGCAAGTTTATCCCTTGCCCCTCAATCCCGAAGCTAAATGTGTTTTGTTGTATTTGTTGAATCTTCTTCACTGTCTGCTCTTACTCAGCGTAAGCTCTGTACACCTCTAAGTCTTTCTCTGCAGAGAATTCGATTTCCACCCCCTGACCGGCAAAGAAAATGTAGCCCTCATTGAAATCAAAATCTTCTCCACCCGCCTTCATCTTCCCGGCTCCGCTCGTTGCAAAGATCACACTTGGCCCGGCGATCTTCTCCTGAATCTCTTTTTCTCCGGCTTGCAAACTCGTCCTCAACATGTTGAACTCGCTCATCGGCGGCGCATAGTCCACCGTCTTCCCCATCTTCCCTTTGCTGCTCTTGGTAGCACCTAGCATCGCATCCTTCGCATTGTGGGGCGAAAAGGTCAATGCCTCAGTGAATAGCTCGATGCTATCTCTCTTTGCACGTGGGCAAAATCCAGTGTTGAGGACGTTGTTGGAGCGGGCCATGCACTCGACGATGTCGCCAGAAAGATAAGCGTCTTCATGTTGTCTGAGTCAGCCTTAACTTTTTAAATTGGGGTTTAGGTGAAGAGGCTTTTTTTGGAAATTAAGATAATCTCGATTCTCGATACGTGTCTTTCAGCCCAGGTTTCTGGAAGGGCAAATTACTTACGTGGGCAATCGGCAGGGACGTATAGTGCTTCGCCGGCTTCGAGGGTGAGGAAGTTCATACAGCTTGACAGTTGCATTAGCATCAAGGTATGCATGCAGTCAGGCAGGAAGTCTTACAGCAAAGTGACCAGGTTTCCCGGATCCTCAATCGAGTACTGCTCTTGCAGCCTTGGTAACAAGTCGAGGATATAAGCCTGCTTGCCGAATCTCTCTCGGGGAATTTTGCCCAACTGTTCCTGGCATTCCTTGATGCTGTCATCACTAGATGTCAGAATGGTCTGGCAAACTCGCTTCAGTGTCTCATTGTTGAAGTGCGTCTGTCCGTTCGGGAGGAATTTTTGGATCGGCTGCAAAACATCGAAGAGAGCCTGAATGTCGGGCGTCGCCTTCCAACCGACAAACACCTCGAATTTGCCTAATGCTATCGCGATCTCTGGTTTATGATTATCGTCGGTAAACTGATCGGGATTTCTGGCGTGTAGCCTAGCCGCGAGATCTTTCTACGCAGATTTCGGAGTCAGCACAATTTACTCGAGCTAGGAAATGGAGTTGCAAGACAGGTCTCTGGAGTAGAGAGGTCTTCTTGCTCCCGAAGCGAGTCTTGCGACTCAACTTCATTACCAAATAGGAAGAATCAGCTCCGAAATGTACATACGTCCGGGTGGATCTGCAGCTCCAACGCTTTTTCGATTGACAATATCTTTGGCAGAAACGGCAGTACACCTCCGAACTTCTCCATAACGTTCTTTCCTAGCAGTCCTTCTTTATCCTCGTCCACGATCTTATGCAGCTCTTCTCCAGTCTTCAAGCTCTTAGCAGGCTGTACAGGATAATCGCCCATCCACATCTCCGCATAGGGTTTATCTTCGATCTCGAAGCCGGTGTTGGGAGTTTTGGAGCAGAGGCGGGCGGACATGGATGATGTACCGACGCGGCCCCATGGATAGTTCTGCTCGTTGTTAGACGAAGGGCATTGGAAGGTGATGGGAAACAGACGTTGCAGGTGCATTGCAGCTGGAACACTGAAGGACCCATGATTGCAAAAGGACAGAGATGAGAATTGATCTTGTCTCAATCAATCTTGAAAACAGAATGTATATGGATTGAAAACAGCTTCATCATATTTTACATTTTGCCTGTGTCGTCAGAGTTCGGGTAAATCGTCATAATTGGCCCGCTTAGTCTCAGTGGCCCCACGCAGTGGGTCTGAGCAGGAAACCGTGCCAAGCCTCATTTTTTTGGTGGTTTGGCTGATATGAGATATTTACCCCTAGGTATATCAGCATTAATAAGTTCCGGGGTAGCTGTTACCCCGGAGCGAGCTACCCCGAAACTATTTCAAAGAAACTTAATAATCTATAACTTCGATATAGAGGTCTGCACCGAAAGTCCTGCACCCGCCAAGACTCTTACGCTCAGACTTCGGATAACACCCCACCTAAAGGGCTACCTGAACAATGCGTCTAGAGTTTTTCGAAATCGCACCTAGCCCTAGCCAGGTTTTAAGACTTAATACCCCTATCAAGCCAAAAGAAGTACCTAAAGTCCCATCCATACGCTGTGAGAAGATATTTCTAGGCTTCCCCTGTATAGGGCCGCTTTCCGAAAGTAGGGTTAGAGCTGCACTAGTGCGGGTGCAGGACTTTCGATACAGACCTCTATATATCATTACTTAATAACCGAACCATCACTTTTTATAAAAACTTATAAATATATTCTTAATATATATAATAATAATATATCAAATTTTCTAAATTGGAAGTTCGAAGTCTTTAAAGATATTAAGCTTTTTAATTTTTTTTCTAAAAATCTTAAAATAATTAAATAATTAAATAAAATTAAAAATAATATTAATAAAACTTTATATATCTTTACTTATCTTTATAAATTATTAAATAATAATTTAAAATTATAAATTATTTAATAAATTACTTAAGATAATAGCTTAGAAAAATAAATTTTAAATAAAATTTTAATAAGTATTATTTTAAAAAATCTGGCCGGGTATATTCTATAATAATATTTTAAAATAAACTTATAAATATAACGAATATTTTAAGATTATTTTTAGAATTTTCTCGATACACGTTAAAGAAAAAGAGGGGGGTTAAAAATATAGTTTTTAAAACTCTAATTTAAATCTTCCGAAAATAATTAATTAAGTTATTTTATTAAAAATCGAAAAAAAAAATCTAACTCTACGATACTTAAATAGTTATTTTATAAAAGATTATTTTTTAATTAGAGTTCTTAGTAAAAAGTTATATATAAAAGAAACTGTTTATTTTCTATTTCGATTAATTTTGATGAGGATCCCATACAAAATAACGGTCAATGTAGCGATTCCGTGATTTCCTACTCAGACTCTATAGGGGGGGTATGACGGAATCGGCTCGGCAATATAATGTTCCGGCCCCCCCCCCCCCAAAAATGTAGAGTCTGAGTACTGAGGCTAGGCCCGCTGTCAACCGAGAAGCATGACATCAGAGTACTGGCCAATCAAGTCGTTTTCTATTTGCCCAGGCCTTTCAGTAAATTTCAGGAATAATGAAGGAGTGAAGAGTGAAGCAAAATTATCCATTCGAGAAACCGCGTTCTTGCTGTGACCGTTCGTTGCAGCCAGTACAATTTACCGACGCTTATGGTGACCATGACAAAGGGAAAGTATCCCACGTTTATGCAAAGCTTGAAACCCCATTTCAATCTTGCAGGCCTCCCACACAACATCGTTCCCCAAAGTTAGAATCACATGCTTGCCGCTGTTCCGCCTGTTGAAATGCCACCTCAACCGTGATTCCGCAGCCTCGATGACCGGCCACCTGCTCTTTAAGATGCATTCATGCAACAACCCTTCCCATCCGCAGCACTCTATGCCCGCCATCTGCTCTCGCGATATCCCTTAGGCCCCGTCCCATCCACAGCATTCTTTTGTGAGGTAGACGAACGATGCTTGTGGACCAAACATATGAAGGCAATCAGAAGTTTAGCTAGACATCGGTACTTCTGCGAGATACTTCGAAGGGTGGCATCGGCTTCCAGCTACCAGGGATTGTCTGCGAATCACGACATTCTGTATCAAGTTGACGTTTGGTGCAGCAGGCATGGCGGAAGCAGTTAGAACTTACCTACTTGAGGTAGACCCCGTAGTGGGTGTCGCTCGAGGGGGTAAAGCGTGGGATTATAAGCGCCGGATCCCCCGAGCTTGTTGGCTTCCCGGCGAAGCTCGATTGCCTCATTCAGAACTTTCGAGGCTTGCTTGAGTGCAACGTCCGCCACACTGTGCGTCCGCTTTGTCCTCAAGACACTCTGTCTTCTATGCAAGTCATGTCATCTTGCTTCCCATCATGTTCACTACTTAGCAAGCGTGGTTCTGCATACAAAGCGCGTACTCTATAATATCCCCAAGAATCAATTACTACCATTAGCTACCTACCATGTCTGCCACCCCAGTATCTCCTGCCAAACGAAAGCAGATCTTACGGGTCATCTTTATCTCCTTGTTGCTCGACCTGGTGTGCCCGTACTCGCCGTGCAAAGTGAGCTTGCTAATTAGTCCCAGATATCCTTCACATTCATCCTTCCCCTCTTTCCAAAGCTCCTCGAATTTTACCGCAACCTCGAAACACAAGATGACTCCTCTTCCATTCTCAATCGCATCTTTTTCGGCTTGAATGCCTATAAGCAATCCTTCTCGCGCCCCATCAGCGATCGATATGACATAGTCCTCCTCGGAGGCGCTCTCGGCTCTCTGTTCTCCCTCCTTCAGGCAATTGCTTCTCCTATCATCGGAACCCTCTCCGACAAATATGGGCGACGAACTGCACTTCTCTGGTCAATGGCTGGAAACATTGCCTCGGTGGCCTTATGGGTAGCCGCGACGGACTTCCGAACATTTTTGGCAAGCAGAGTAGTAGGAGGCTTGAGCGAAGGGAATGTCCAATTAGCAACCGCAATGGCAGCGGATGTTAGCAATGACAAGCAAAGAGGTGCCACAATGGCTCTGGTTGGAGTATGTTTCTCCATTGCCTTTACATTCGGACCGGCGCTGGGAGCGGCTCTCGCAAACATCGAAACAGTAGTCGCAAATCCGTTCGCTACAGCTGCTGGGTTTTCGCTCTTCTTGATTGTCGTGGAGACAATGTATCTCTACTTCTATCTACCGGAGACTCTACCTTCATCACGTGTAACGCCGGTAACCAGTGGCTCGATACTGAAGACCGGGTCAGAGCAGCAAAAGCATATTCGTACGAATTCCCATACCCTTTTGAATTTTACCCATTTCATTTTCATCCTCTTCTTTAGCGGCATGGAGTTCTCTCTCCCGTTTATGACCTATGACTTATTTGCCTACACGTCCTCCCAATCTGGCAGGCTCCTCGGATTCATGGGTTTGGTCGCTTCGATACTGCAAGGATCCGTCACCAGGAAACTGCACCCGCTTCGAGTCGTCCAGCTCGGTGTAGTGGCATGCGCAGCGAGCTTCTTTATGCTAGGCAGGCTGACGACCGAAGCGGGACTGTGGGGAGCTGCCACGTTATTGGCAGTAACGACTGCTACCGTTGTGACCGGATTGAATAGCATGAGTAGCTTCGAGGCTGCCGAAGGAGAAAGGGGTGGGAAACTGGGTAATCATCGAAGTTGGGGTAAGTCACGAGATCTTGCTATCATAGCCCTAAATTACTGACCCATGGCCTCTAGGGCAGATCGGAAGATCTTGTGGTCCTCTATTATTCTGTAGCCTATATTGGTGGGCAGGCCGAGATATTGCATACGCCATCGGAGGGGCCGGCATGTTAGGTGTTTGTGCAATTGTTTTTGGAGCATTGAAGGCTCCTCCGAAATCTCTACCCCAGAAATGAAACACAGTACTAGAGACAATTCAGAAAGTGCCTTTCCCAGAGGGTGGCCTTATTGTAGTGTTGCTATTACTTGGCAATAATTCTGTGGATATACCTGAAGGTCCTGTAACATGAAAATAACACCTTGTATTTGAGACCCCAATAGCACTTAAGACCAGAAGTCAACGCTCCATATCAACGAAGATGTAGGAGAAGACATTGTTGTCCTCCAAAATTTCCTACTTTAAGCCTCTGAAAGTCTGAAGTCTACCTTAATTGGCTATACGGGTGAACTTCGGATCTCTCAGACTTTTGTCGCGGTCCACCGCGATCACGAAACACCAAAGTATGCCTGCCTACAATCACATTTGCATGATTGTGACCGGCTGCTTTTTAATGTCTTTAAACCTTCGTTTACACTCAAGGTTTCTCTCTACTCATATGTCTTGTCGGCGCTCACCTCTCAGGTCAACACCTTAGCCCGCGAGGTCGACATTATGAAATGACTGAGCTCAGTCTCTCTTCATTTGCCCTTACGAGGCAGTCTCAGATCCTGTCTTTGAAGCCTTCACTATGGCACAAGCCGTACAAAGTAATATCATCGATCTAACTGGTGAAGATGACAATGACGACAGCATCGCAAGGGCGCATGCTGCTTGTCAGAAGGCCTTTGCGGCCGCATCTCGATTGACTACCCACTTTGAATCCCTGAAAACGAATCCTCTCCCAGCCGTTGCTCCCAAACCGCTGGTGCCGCCTCGGCTTGGAACATTTTCCAATCCCGCTAGGAATGAAACGAATGGGCTCAAGAAGGACGGGATTAATAATACTATACAACGACAAGATTCCATGATCCCCAGCCTCGGTGTCTCATTCCCTCAGTCAGCTCTAGGGATAGCGGCTTCAAGGCCAGCGAAGTCTCCCTCAATATTAGAGAGAGCGAAAGGAGACGAGCGACAGCCAAGGGAGAACACATCTGTCACTCCTAGGGCCGATACCTCCACTATCCGCACGCCACGCTCAGCTGCTGTCTCCGCCAAGCAGAATATCGCCGACACATGCAATGAAATGGAAGATTGGGTCAACAAAGATCCAAACCTAGTACCACAGCAGGCTGGCGTCAGTACACCAAGGAAACCGGGGAGACCGAAGAAAGATCCCGATGAATGGTCACCCAGTTCGACTACGAAGAACAACGTAGAAGAGCGAAAGGGGCTGGGCAGAGTTGTCACCAACGCACCGACACCATCCGCTGACGAACACGAAGACTTGAGAGCCAACGAAGACAATGGCTTGTTCCCCATCAAAGGAGTATTGACCTCATTAGGTACAAAGAAGCGGAAGCTCTCAGGATCGTTCCAATCCCATCCTTCTCCTGTCAAATTGGCTCGATGGAATGCAGAGCCGAGCGCTCCTCATCCATCTACCCCTCCGAATGTGGCTGAGCCCGCCCGCAGTGAGCATGTGCACGATGGAACAGGTAACATTTCTCCCGCTGGTTGCTTCCCAAGGTGTGTGTATCCTGCTCTCAAAGCAGCGAAAGCAGTATACAAGCAAAGCCTTACAGGGGACGAATTGACTGGCATCGGAAACAGCGTAAGTCTTCTCTTGGAGCCCTAGGGTGAAAATCCTATGTCCAAAGGGAAAAACATAACGGACGGACTAGATTACCAACGAAATTTTGGAGCAAGGAGTAGAGGCATTTTGTCCAGCAAGTGCTAATTGTCCTAAGAATCAACGAACGGAATTGATATTGAAATCCGTATCGGAGAATTTTCATGAGAAAGCACTGAAGGTTAGAAGTGGGCTCCCTGTCAACTTGATTGCCTTCACAGAGGATTCCCCGAAAGGTGTCACTGATCCTCCCTTCAACCGCGATCCTAAAGCATCTCGACTCGAGCGCGATTCGTCTATCAAGAATATCGTCAAGACGAACAATGAGTCGCCATCGAAGCCATCGACTACAAAGTCTAGGGAGAATAGCACATCGACAGACCAGGCAGAGGCTGGTCTCTTCGGACGATCCAAGCCATCAATGCTGTACACGCAAGAGAACATAGATCCTAGGCTCCACCCTAGATTCCACGAAGCTGCTAGTCCTACTACATCTGAGCCTATACTGTCGTCGGCATCCACCGGGCTCGTCGCATATGCTGCCCTGTTCGAATCAGTAGTGTATCCTGCCATGAAGAAGTCAAAAAAGCGTCACAAAGACAGTCTTCCTCGAGAAGAGTTAGATGCTATCGGCAAAACTGTAAGTCTTACTTCGATGTTAGGATTGAAGAAAATGAGCCTTAATAGACATGCACTAATCCTTTAGATTGTCAACGATGTTCTGAACAAATTAGCATCTCACTCAGAGAATTCATACCAGCTGGACGAGGATACAAAGAAGAAAATCAAGCACTTCGTGAAGAAGTCTTTTCGTCAAAAGGTTCGGAGGACTAATGCGCAATCTTCACATAACCCAACTATTCCTGTAAATGGTTCAAGACTTGATATAGCTACGCTTTCATCCGGTTCTCCAGATCTAGAAGGCACGGCTGGAGGTCCTCGTGCTCGTGTACCCGGTTTAAATGACTCTGAGAATGCCTCCATGAGTCAGGCCATTGCAGTAAACGAAAAAGAAGAGGCACAGGCACCGCCTCCCATACCCCTAGATCAACAACAGTCTTTGTCGTTACAAAGTTCACCAACTGAGTTTTCAACATGCCCTTTCGGACCCAATTTTGATCGTGGTCGGTACCCTGCTCTGCGCCGTAGACGCGGCAATAAATATTATACGCCAGCCAGGACTTCAAAAACCACCCCTAAACTCAAAAAAAATCATTTTATACCTTCTGATGATTACTCGCGTTCGCGGCCTGTCACAAGACTCCCGACTGATCCAAGCTTGACTGCTCCAGCTTCAAACCAGCATAGCAATAATTTGGGGGTATCGAATGGCAAAGACCAGGTGCGGCTCTTAAAAGCTTTAGCAAGTCAACCTACGACCTCTCGGGTGAGTGAGACGCAGTTGACAACCTTGACGACTGCTGCCGAAAAGAAAAGGACTCCTATAACTCAAGAATCGGCTTTGGAGCTTCTTGCCAGCATAGAAGAATCAACAAACGTGGGGCCTGTCGCACCTCAGTCCGCAAGCTACGATGACGCCTCGAACGCACTGCGAGAAGCTCCGGCCAAGGGTCAAGGAAGGATGACAGACGTGGGAGAGACGCCCGCCGGTGGCCGCGGACCGGTTTTCTCCCATCTTGCAAACCACCGAAACAACACTGCAACCCATCAATCAGTCCAGCAAATTCCAAGAAATTGGCCATTGGAAGACACTGGTCCCCCAAAAGAACCTCGACCAAGATGCCGCCCTAACCCCGCCACAGCGCTCGATCCAAGTCTCGAGCACGTCATGGCAGTCTTGGTCATTGATACGTCCAGCCGGCCATATAAGGATGGACAGAGATACTCTATTACACTCACAGATCGAATGCAGCTCGTTGCTGATCAAAGCATCGTGAAACATGCTGATCTCACCTCCAAAGTTGGGAAACCAAAGGTTGTTAGAGTTGAGACAAAGGTTATCGATACTGTCCGCTACCCAGGACGTTGCATTTCGTCATTGCTTCGGAACCGCGAGCTCGGCCTAAGCCCTCGTGGACGACATGTCGGAACGATGGGTGAGCTCCGTCAATTGAAGAGTGAGATGATTGAGCCATGGAAAAATTGGAAAGGAGCATCTGGTGATGTGGTTGCTGTTGCATGGAGCCCAGATTCCAATGTGTATGCGTTTGGGGCAGCCGCACATACAAATGTTGAGGATATACAGTACAACCGTCCTTGCAACCTATTACTCGGTAATCTCACTTCGAACCAAATTCGAGAGCTACCCGATCACAGGGTCGATCGGCCGAAACCTGAAACCATTCCCAATGGACCCAATGCTACTCGAGCTGTCTACGAAGCTTGCGATCCTAAAGTATACGAGACCGTTACCTCAATTGCATTCTCACCCACCGGAGATCGAATGTTCACTGCGAGTCATGACTGTACCGTAAAGATCTGGGATATCTCTGCCGAGAAACACCAATGTCTGAGCACTCTCCGCCACGAAGCCTGGGTGACTAGCGTCGAGATCTCAGGGAACCGACAAAGTCTTTTTGCAACTGCCTCGAAGTGTGTCAACGGCGCCGTTCGAATCTATTACAATACTGCAGAACCTTCGGACTACATGAAATTCTCGGCCTCGCGTGCAGAAACAAGGCCTAATTGGAAAATATATCCAGAATGTTTAAGGTGGGGCCCAAACTCTTACAACAATCATCTACTACTGGCAGGCTTCCAACAATGGGAGCAGCAGGGGGATTTGCTTTCCGGTGGGGGACAGCTCTGCCTCTGGGACGCCAATGTTTTCGAGAGCATCAAAGTCACGCCATCGTCACAAAGCGTTTATGCTGCAGCTTGGCATCCCACGGAGCCTTTCTTTGCTACGGGTGGCGCTCCCGGTAATCACATCATTGACAAAACCAACACCAAAACTGTCGTTCGCACTTGGGATGTCCGAACGCCGAAACGTTTTCAAGTCGAGTATGAGTGTCCTGCTATAGACATGCAAGACATCACTTTCTCTCCATTAAATCCAAATATTGTAACTGCTGGCTGTACAGACGGCATTTCTTACGTTTGGGATTGGCGTTGGCCAGATCAGCCACTCCATTGCTTGAAGCACGGCAGACCCCTGGTGGATTTGGATCACACCAGAGAACGGGAAGAAGCTGATACCGGAGTGATGCTGAGCCTTTGGGGTCCTGGTGGCTCTCTGTTCTACACTGGTTCTTCCGACGGCATGATCAAGGCATGGGATGTTCGACGCCATCCCAAAGATGCGCTGATCAGCAATGTTGCCAATTTTGACGTTAGTATACAAAGCGGAGCCTTCTCGCCAGACGGTAACAATCTACTTGTCGGTGATGCCGAAGGAGGCATTCACGTTCTCTCATCTGCTCCTTGTGGGCCACGTTCAAATGTCCAAAGCACAGACGCGTATATTGATCTTGTGAGAGCCTCTGATGGAAGCGGCTTAAAACTTGATCAAAACGATGACAATCCTGGCACAGAGGGTATTGAAGCTGCTAAATCGCTTATCGAATCAGGTCAACTGGAGCATCATAAAGAACTTGGGGTTGGACAGGGACTTAATTACCAAGGTCCCTACGCTACATACGCTCGAAAAGAAGTCGTCGAGCCTGGTATTGGCCGCCTGCGCAGAAGGTTCGAGAAGAAGCAACCAATTTCGAAGAGGGGTGAGAAGCGATGGGATATAGCAATACCAATGACTTCTTTGCTCTACGAGAGGAAGGAAACAATGGATCGTGAGAAGGATGGCGACAAGATGGCGAACCTTAATGAGCATGAACCGAAGGCAATGCAGCAACCGAAGGATGGAGAAAGCCTCCAGACAAGTCCCTTTTTCTCGACACCGCAAGGAGCATCTGCCGTCGTTCATCCGTCTTCCACAAGCCTCGTCGATTCCGTAGATAGTGAAAGTGTTGGCGCGACTGTTGTCGATGTTAACGAGGATCATAGCGTTGAGTACAATGCAATTCCCGAAGGTGAGATGGTTGAGGAAAATTACTGGTGGGTGAGGATGGGTGAGGAGGAGATCGCTCAGGCGAGGGCTGGACGAGTGAAATACTAGGTGGTCTTACTGGAGCTTCGAGGCTTTCAGTAACAGCTGCGATGCGCTCAGTCATTATCGATAGATCGTGACAATCCGAACAGGCTGAGCCATACGTAGCCAGCATTGCCTATCCCTAGATCACTTATAATATAGCTCAATAAACGCCACTACCTTGGCTAGGTTTGCATAAGAAATTCTGCGTGTATTCGTTATTCTAAAGTGATCGTAGAACCGCCTGTGCTCCTGATATCAAGCTCGAAACTTCTCCCGTTCGAAGAAGCCATTGTGTACTTTCTAAAGATTCCTTTCCAACACTTTCACTAGAGAACAGGACATTTTAGAACGAAGAGCCTGAGTAGAAGCGTACACCGATTCCACAGTTAACAATTGCCGATATTTTTAACACGAATGGTCCACGGACTGGGCGATCCATGCACCATTCGGATGTTCTACACACTCCCTGGCCTCCGTGCAACTGTAACACACTGCACCGTCTCTTAGATCTGCACAGATTCCTGTGTGCCAACCCAACCCGCGTGGGTCTGCTCGCCGGAGCCGCGGCGCGTGCGCATGATGTGTAGCGACGCTAGGACCGTGGTCGCGAGGAAAGTCGCCCTGGACCCCGATTAGCCTCTCCTTCCCCTCTCTCCCCCCAACACTGAGTCTCGGGAGCTTTACCACGCAAGAGCACCGACGATGACGCCCCCGACCATCACGTCACACGGTCCGCACAGGATCAATCCCCGGTGGAACACCGCCAGTGCCACGAACCCGGCAAACCAGAGCAGGCAGGTGGCGGAGTCCAGGGCGAGTATGAGCCATTTGTTGAAGAAGCGGCCGTTGGGCTTGTTGCCGCCCGCGAGGACGGGGTTGAGGGAGAGGTAGGGGAGGGTGAGGAGGGTGGAGGTTCCGACGAAGACGAGGTAGGGGGGCGCGGAGGGGGTGGTGGAGGGATGGGTGTGATGGAGATACCAGGATGTTACTGAGGAGGGGGGGGGGAGATGTCAGCTTTTATTTTCTGGGGCCGGGGTAAGGAAGCTTTGGTAGGGAGGGGAGGTGAATACCGTAGCCGTTCAAGCCGAGCGCGATGATGGCGAGGATGAGCTGGAAGACGCGAAGAGGAAGGTTGAAGTTAAACATCGTGACGTGTCGTGTATCGTGATTTTAAGATCGTGGCTTGCGGTATGTGGAGTTGGAATGTGGGGTAGGTGTTCGTTGGATAAGGGAGTGTGCGTATGTTGATTGTGGAATATATGGAAGAGTGAAAAGAGATCCTGTCAAAGGATGTGCGGGTCTGTTTGTTAGGCGATAATGAGCGTCAAGCTATATGAAAGAAAAATATAGTGAGTGAGTGAATGAATGAAAGATTGAAGGTGTTGTTGCGAAAACTGGGCGACGAGAGGATACTTTGTTTTCGGAGGAGATCGCTTGGCGAAATTGCAGGGATGTGATTTGTTGACGCTTTCTAGTGCTATGTTTCAGGACTGAGGACTCTGACCGTTATACTTGGTCTTGCTCTGGTATATCTCCTCGTCTTTTAACGCCTTTGGTCAGAAGAGCTTGTTCTTCAAGGCGCTTCGATCATGGACCGTCTGCAAAAGAACCCTACCGCCTCTGTATTGCCTCAAATCCACTGCCAAGCCAAAAATTGAAGGCCAGAGCCTGAGGCTATTACTGGCAACATTGCCTTGACATGAACTCTTCATCTAGATACAGCATGATTACTGCATTGTCATCATTGAAGGTAAGCTCCATTTTACTCTCCATGCATTCCTACTCGTGCAGGCCACCTAGTGTTTCTCCGGTATTGTACAGCGCTGCTTTTGGTGCTCTTGTGGGACTTTTGTTGACACTGGCACCTATACTCTATATCCGAGAGGAATTGTGCTCTAGAACAGGTATGTGAATATGCGCCTGCTTTGCTGTTGAATCGTTGTCTCGTGTGAATAGCAAAAAGTTCATTCCCTAAAATATTCTCGCGTGCTACTTGTATGTTCAATATGGATAAGCACTTTACCATGCTTCAAATTGCAAAGACCGATGTTTCACGATGCGGAAGAGTGATGAGAAAGTGCTCCGACCTTCCGGATGCTTTTCTCCGTTACGAAGTTCAACACAAGCAGTGGTCAAAACCCCAAAGGAGTGTAGCCTGAGAGCTTGCGAGGAGTTGTCAGGAGTGGTCAAGTACAATGCTACATCTTGGATAAGGGGGCTCGAGAGGCGGAAAGGTTGGTGACTTGGTGTCAATCGTGTATGAGTCGCTGCGCCTCAGGCCTGAGGCGCTTACTCGTAAGCCACACTATGGACCCTGAGACTTCTCTCTAGCAGTAGCTGGTACTTCAGCGATGCCTTTTATCTTTATCATAAGCGAGCAGATAAGATGTTTTGAAGAGTTAGGTACTGTACCTAGGTATTAATTATTCTCCGAACCATGCTATTCCGGCGGCATCAGAATCCTCTTCCACAGCTTCATGAATCATGATACTGAAGTCCAGGTTGAGAGAAGCAGTCATCACTAGGTACATGATGCCACCGTTCCGAGGCTCTTCTGCCCCCTGGGAAGTCTGACACGATGACACCATCCCCGCTAAACCCGAGTGCGGGGGAATATGGCAAAGACGCAATAATGCGGCTTCACGTCGTCAATAGTGCGACTTTTAAGAGCGACGCGGTTTTTTTCTTGCTTCAATTGAACTGATACTCATCGTGCCTTTAACTGTATCTGCTCAATCATCGACTTCACACCTCAACGTAACCTTACGTTGAACTTCTACTTGCCAGTATGGGCTCGGAAGCTCCACAGCAGAAATTTGAGACACTGCAATTGCACGCTGGGTAGGAGGTCTCGAGTCTATTGATACACGGAAGCAATTGACTGACTGCGGAGACAGACAAGAGCCAGATCCTACAACCAATGCCCGCGCCGTCCCCATCTATGCCACGACCAGCTACGTCTTCAATGACAGCGCGCATGGCGCCCGCCTTTTTGGCCTCAAGGAATTTGGGAATATCTACAGCCGCATCATGAACCCCACGGTTGACGTCTTCGAAAAACGAATTGCGGCTCTGGAAGGCGGTGTTGCAGCCGTGGCAGCATCCTCAGGACAGGCGGCTCAATTCATGACGATTGCGGCATTGGCTCACGCAGGCGATAATATTATATCAACGTCGAACCTCTACGGAGGGACATACAACCAATTCAAGGTGGCCCTGCCGAGACTGGGCATAAGGACAAAGTTCGTGAAGGGTGACGAGCCGGCGGAATTCGAGAGACTTATCGATGACAAGACGAGGTGTGTGTACCTGGAGAGCATAGGGAACCCGAGATACAATGTGCCCGATTTCGAGAAGATTGTGGAAATTGCGCATAAGAACGGTGTACCGGTGGTGGTGGATAATACATTCGGCGCCGGAGGGTACTTCTGTCGGCCCATTGATCACGGTGCGGACATCGTCGTTCACTCGGCTACTAAGTGGATTGGTGGCCACGGCACCACAATTGGAGGCATTGTGGTCGACAGCGGCAAGTTCGATTGGGGCAAGAATGCCAAGCGCTTCCCACAGTTCAACGATCCTTCGGAAGGCTATCATGGTCTCAAGTTCTGGGATACATTCGGCCCCATCACATTCGCCATTCGCGTCAGAGTTGAGATCCTGCGAGACCTTGGCACGGCGCTGAATCCATTCGCGGCGCAACAATTATTGCTGGGCATTGAGACTCTGAGTCTGCGGTGCGAAAGACATGCGTACAACGCTTTGAAATTAGCTCAATGGCTTCAAGAGAACGACAGAGTTTCTTGGGTGTCATACCCGGGCCTGGAGAGTCACCAATCACACAAGCTCGCGAAGAAGTATCTGCCCAGAGGATTCGGCGGTGTACTATCATTTGGGGTGAAGGGAGGGCAGGAGGCTGGAAGTCAAGTCGTCGATGGCTTCAAGTTGATCTCAAATCTGGCTAAGTATGCTCTTCGCTCCTTCGTAACCGCCCCTAGCTTATTAGGCCACAGTGTCGGCGACTCGAAGACCCTGGCAATCCACCCTTGGAGCACAACGCACGAACAGCTCAGCGATCAAGAGAAAACAGATAGCGGTGTCACGGAAGATCTCATCCGGATATCGGTGGGAACAGAGCATATTGACGATATAATTGCAGACTTTGAGCAATCCTTTTCGGCAAGCAAAGCTGCAAAGCCAAGTGCAGAAGGGAAGGAAGAGAATGGGGAGGTAAAGGGCAATACGAATGGGGACGCTAAATTGAGTGGAGCAACATGAAACGAATACGGATTCTGATGTAGCCGTTGTGGACTCGATGATGGTGCCTTGTGTTTCACAAAAGAGAATACTTTAATCACAGTCGCATCATGACGAAGGCTATAATCCTGATGAATCCCGTTCTTTGCCCGGGACACAGCAAACCACAGCAACCTTTAATTGGTAAGACTAACGCTTGCACTAATACCGACCACCAAAGACTTCGAAGATTGCCAAACACAGCAGCTTTTGTCACATGGTTCATGACAAAGCATTCTCCTTTTGTTGGTTATTCGGAACACATGTAGTCTATGAAAGGATCCTTCATGGGCTTCCATCGACCATCACACGAGGCCATCATGATCTCGTCTCATCCGGGACCAGACACAATGAGCGTCTTTCACCTATGCCCGAATTGATAAAGCCTCTTTCAGAGTTGAGGCTCAGAGCACGAACAAGCGTTCACCTATTACTGCAGTCGACTATCTAGACACTGCTCCTACATGTTGAGACACCAACCCTCGAAACAGAACATGTTTATCCATCATACCAAGAACAATTGACTAATCTTACCACAAACGATTTAATCGACTACTTGAATATTCACCATCACCACACCTTTACAAGAGCAGAGCCATGTATACCCTGTTGCTCGCCTTCCCCTCATCTTGACTGCCCTATCCGTGCCTGCCGCCGCATCCAATTCCACCAACGCCAGTTCCACTCTCACGTTTACAGCATTTGGGTCTTATGCGTGTGATCAGGGCGTACTCACATTCAACTCAATGGCCTACGATCAAGCATATACCATGCCGCCCAATGAGACTTTCCACTCCTTCACGCTCAGCCGCTCCCTGCTACCCGACGAAACGCTCAGTTTTGCGCGAATGCCCGCTGTTTCTTGGTATAACGAGCCCGCCCCCCCGGTAATCCCCAGTGCGCATACCCTCTTGGCTCGCTAACGCAGGAGAATGGCGGTGCCTGGATTCGAACCGGGACCAACAACTGCTGGTAGATAATGGGGGTGACGTCGTGCGTTCAGCTATCGATCGACAATTCCACGGTCGGTATCCCGCCCAGTCCAATCTCCAGCAGCTCGTCGATTTCCAGCTCGCCTACCTCCACCGTGTCTTCCACTTCGCTGTCCGCGGTTTCCGTCCCTGCTGCTACAACTACACGTTAAGGTAGGCTTTGCGAGGCCAAGGTGGGTCATTGCGTTGGCACTTTGCGATGAATCAGAAGTCAGAGGCTGGTAAAGCGTATTGGGAGTTATTCGTCAAGCGAGATCTTGACTAGGTTTTCAATGGGTTGGAGGCTGTTGATAGACAGTGCGAGAGCGGATTTGATCTATACCACTTTCAATTAACAGTCTTCCCAATGATGATAGAATCTCTTCACCCTCGATGTCTGGAGCCCCATCTTCGTACTCAATGCATGAGCAGCACGAAGCTGTGTCGCCTTGAATGCCTCTTTCAAGGAGTGTAAATTTGGACATCTCAACGGGCGTTTCCTGTCTCCGCATATCCATCCAGTTGCCACGCCAGCGAATACCGACCATTGCGAGCCAAGAGCCATGAAGCTTCACTGTCGCGGAAGCCACCATCATCTAACAGGCGCATAGAATCTGGACCTGCCGGACGGATCGGATGCCTTGTTGGGCTCGAAGCCGTAACACTCCTGTAGACTCTCGTCTACCGTGCTACCTCTCTTCTCTGTGCTTCCACACATATCTCTCATTACGAACAGTCAACGCTGGCTCTGAGCCCTGGGCGCCACGTAAGATGCTCAGCTTAATCACGACAGTGAGTATGTTCCGTGTGTACGTCGATGTTGCGGGCTCTGCGGGTCAAGGGTTTAATGCATTGTACGACAAGGATCTTAGCGGGGAAATTGGTTAGCTGCGTGGAGCTTGGGGTAAAGACATATTCTAAGTCTGTGTGAAACAGGTAGATGGAGTATTTACGAAGAGAAACGACGATTATTCGCGGAGAGACTCTAATGCCATCACGAAGCAGTCGCGAGCGAGGTCCATGTCGACCCGCAATGCCATCAATGGCAACACGAAACTGGTACTTCAGCTGAGAACAAGCTCCGAGACTGTTGGCGAAATGCTTCCACTCTTCCCCGGACAGTGTCCATGTGGCACGCACCATGAGCTAGAGACAGCTTCTGTTCAGCCACTCGGTCTCCAGGAGTGGCCTGTCCGGTCCATCTGATCGCCATCAACCTTGAGACACAAGAACGGTTCCTAGGACGCGGTCAGCAACGATGGAGCTTGGTAGAAAGCGGAGCACAGGGGGTACAGACCGTCCAGAGCTATCTTCATACTTTCCGCGATGAAACGCGCGGCCGTGCTGTAGATCGCCAGCGAATCTTTTGCACGACGGGACGACTTAGCTTGCTCTTGTGCGTCATCGAAAGCCCGAGACGCGTTTGGTATGATTGCAGATCTCACTCACCAGGATTCGCCGGGTCCTTCGCCGTCACGCAATCATTCCATCTGTATACTTCACCGGTTTCATCACTGTTCATCGTACCGAGGAGGGGGCTATGAGCCATTTCGTGTAACAAGTAATGGTCCAGCCAGCGCCAGCTGTCCATCGATGAATGCCGGCCGCCTTGAAGCCATTTTTCCAGGTCCTCAATTTGGGCTGAGATAGTCATTAAACTAGGGTCGTGCACCATTACGTCGAGCGTGGCCTTGCAGATGTGGATCACATTAAGAGACTGGACGTTTTGTGTATTTGAGCTGACGCTCGTGGAGTAGAGTGCTGGTGCACGTAACACTATATTTGGGTTCAGGCACCCGGTGTAAGCCTCGGTGGTGATGTCCTCGAACGTATTGGAAAAGGTGTCGTAGACATAGTTCGGGTCATCTCCGAGTATCAAGTACTCGACACCGCAAGTGATCATGGTGGGGTCGATTCCGACTGCCGCATCATAACGAATGGCGTGAGGAAAGTCGTTGAGTATTCCTATTCGTTCTAGATGACAAATTGAAGAGTCAGCACTCCAGACCGTATCATGGCATGTTGCGGAGAGGAAATGAGAATTATGCATGCAAAATATGAATCGCCTAGGAGTTGAAACAAGGGAAGCGCACACTCACGCCTAGCTAACTGCTGGTTTGCTTCGCTACCGAACAACCATCCAGAAACTTCAATGAGATCCTCATCAACTTCCGTTGGCATATCTGCACCATACTCTGCCGTCTCAAAAGCGGAACCTAGCGCTTTGCTTATCAGGTCGGTATATCCTGGGTCATGTTCAGTCAATGCACTGGTAAGACATGAGCAAAGCTGGAGGACTCACGAGGCACGCATGAGTCATGCAAGATGACGCAGTCGCATAGAAACGCGAGAGAAAGTGAAAGCAGGATAGGGGCAACGGAAGGACGAAAAGGAGTCCACGGCATTGCAATACACTCGGCGGGATTTCAATGCATATACTGGTTGGTAAGTGACTGCCTCTTGTGCACTCCGTGGGTTTGGCAGCAAGGCAGGAATCGAGCTTATCTGCAGGTCCTCGAGAACAGTACAGAACTAGAGCGAGCTTTCCGAGCAAGAGAAAGGGGAAGGGGTGAATGTGGTCTCATATAAACACAACAAAGGGCCTGTCGTTTCTCGTTGTTGCCATCTCTTGACCTACGTTGTTGCTCTTTCATAGGCGGACAGGGGAGTAAGAGCGACAGGAGACTCAGCCGCTGCCGATACCATAGTATGGATGTTTCAAATAGAAATATCACATGCAAATCAAATACACAGACAGGCATTTACACAGTCGGCATACGAAAACCTCATGAGCTAACCCTAAGTGGTCAGATTTGCGAAAAGCTCCAGCTCCGCAATACTGCAAACGCTCCGTTGAGTTGAGGTTTCATACCTGAGTCTCCACTCTTTTCGTCTCGCATGTCTTAGCTTCGAGACCTTGGTGTGTGAGTGGAGCTGAAGTGTTTCACTTCGCGAACAGCTGGACTGTCTGGGGAGAGCGAAATTAAGGGCCACTCGCAGCATCGATGATGGCATGATCAAGGAAGCCGGAAGGGTGGAGCAAATTCTGCGCAAAAGCTAATTACCCGTCGTCTGAAATGTTCAAGTCATCGATTAGGCAAGGATGGAGGAGCGACCAATAAGGTCCCCCACTTGTTTGCGGCACAGCATGGGCTGTGCGTCAAGACAAGCTTAGGCGAACTGCAAGACAACAACAACATCTCGGGCGCCCGGTGGAGAACACGTCTGTTGGTAATACGTTTCATTCAAGGTATACCGACTCGCCTGAGCCTCACGGATAATCGTGCAGCTGCAGCATCAACATATACCTGAAACTGATCCCTGTGCTTCCATTCAGAAGCTCAGAGTGGGGAGGAATTGCCAGTTGAAGGTTGAAAGGCATTATTCTCAATTTCTGTGCACTACTGCCGCCATGAATGAAATTCGTACTCTATCCCAAACATCGGCTTGATGACTTCAGTTGCGATTGGCTCTTGAGATGACCCATAGAAGACTCCCTTCATTCGAAGACAACATGTTGCTCGGCTGCTCTTACCCCTAGAAGTATCAACCTGTAAATCGTCAAGGTATTGGTACGATGCATGAATTAAAAGGCTCGATCTTGCCACATAGCTCACCATATGTCGAATTGCGCATTTTCAGCCAAATCTGCCCAATCCCATAGAATCTTTCGCTCAATAGCAATCATGATGGCGCTTCGTACCTTGGCCTCTCGAACGTCTGTATTATTTTTGTCTTGGTTAACTATTTTTATGTCTCAAGTACTGGGGCAGACCATCTCCATTGGGACAGACTTCATCACTTCTACAGCGGTGAGCCGACTCCAAAGACGTGCTCGGGCTATTCGTGTGGCTCATCGCTGATATCTTGTAGTCTGCGAGCTCTGCACAGTTGACGGGTGTATCGTGCGCCATTCATATTTATCCCAATGGCGACTTTGGCCTTGACATGAGCGATGGCTTGAGAGACCAGATCCAAGCAATCAAGTCAAGTTCCACAAATGGCACTAGCGTTGAGACGAAGATCCAGAATGCCATCATCGCTGCTAACTACAACATACAAAAGAAACAACTTGGCAGTGCCGCACTTGCGGAAGGGGCTTTCATTCTCGGAACTATCTCCTACTTGTTCAATTCTCACCCAGCGGTTCCGATCCACGTACAGATCCTCTCCGAAGATGTCGCACAGATGTCTTCAGCTCAGGCTGCGTTCGCGAATCCGACCGTGATGTACATCGAGACCGCGAGTGCGGGCCCGGTAGCGACTGTGCTATTGGCTGATTCGTCACCGACGGTGGCACCTTCCGTCGCAGTATCCAGTGCGGCATCCTGTCCCTCACAGATAGTAAGCGGTGACTTGGTAAGGAAACGAGATTTTGTGTCACTGATGTAAGTTGTCCAGATAAGGTGTGAAACCGATGGTTGTGGGGGTCAGTATCCAAAAGACGTTTGCGAAAAGGTCAGATAATGTTGCCATGGGCAGAACCCTTGTTATGGACTAACAACTATCACGAGTAGCCAGAGAAAAAGGGTTGTAAATGCGGACCTACACTGATAGATCCCATTGGTGAATAAAAGTTCATTGATCGCTGCTATTCTACGCATTGTTAACAGGACTATAGCCGAACCACCATTCGATGCCAACGCATGGACAGCCGGCTTGGCCTCGTGGGCCTTAATTCTTTCTAGTCTCTCAACGATGGCAACTGCGCCGAGCGCTCTACCTTCTTGCACGTCAGTTGCTCCCAAACGCCAAGCGCGCAGATGCTTGAAGAGCGCCACTGATAGACCACTTCAGGCTTGTTGCTCCCGGTTCGAACGATGGGTGCGCCAACCAGCACTGCTACTGCCCGTCCGGAGGCGGAGTCGTTGTCCCTCCTTTGACAAGTGTTATCTCCGGCACTACAAGTACCGACTGCTCCTACACCACCCAGCCCTCAATCGACAGTTGTCCGCCAGCACCATTGACCAGCCCGACGTCGTCAACCACCCTCACAACTAGCACTACAGCAGCTGCCTCACCTACTGTTGGACCGATAACCTGCAACACATACGAGACCAGCTACAGCCACTGCTGGACCGACATCGACGCCAAAACAGTCAACACAACGGCCGATGCGATGATTGGAACCCAACTTCCGAACGGACCAATGACGTCGGGGACTCCGAATAGCACTGAGGTCGTGACGGTGAAAGGGTTGAATTACTTTATGAATATTGGCTGGATTCCCGGATGTGTTGCGGTGGACTCACAAAATCCAGCCAATCCTATTGCGAGTGATCAGTCCATTGCAACAAGGGACATCCTATGGCAAACTTATAATGACTGTAAGCCATCTATTGTCGCTTGAATCTATCTCTCGACATCGTTGGCTGACATCTGATAAGGTCCTAACAATCATGGAATTGGCGGCTATTCAGACACCGTTTGCTTGAGGATCGGGTTCTTTCCAACCAAGGTTGAAAAGGTGGGCGGTAATCCTCCTGCTGTAACGAACTATTGGAACGACCCAGTATACTGCTAGTTGAATCCGCTGTCCTGCCTTTTCCCTGAAACTTTGATGGGAGAAGAGAGAGATCTTAGTCTTCGCAAACAAAGGCGCGTGGTAAGTTGAGCTATGTGACAGTAGCAAAAAGATTCGTAGTCGCACATCCTCTCAAAGGGTCATGTCGGACAACGCCTTGAATGTGCTTTTCCAAGTCATAGCGCCAACCGTTGAAGCTACCACTCGCAATTACCTAGGCTCGTACGCTTGGACTTCGGTGGCGGCAACGCCCTCATACTGACAGGTGGGGCTGATCCATCCAACGATCTTTGGGCAGACTAGCGATCAACTTTGGCCTCTCAGTTTTGTACGTAAGCATATTAATCTCAGATACCGCTTCTCCTGATATAAAGACACTCTTCCTGCCAAAAACCTCCAGCCCGCCATGGCGCGTGGCAGCCCTGGGTCTTGGTTGGGGGTCTTGGAGGAATGCCATAAACGCTCGATCATCGAACGACTTAGGCCAGCATTACTGCATCACCAGTGGCGGCAAGAGCCTGGAAATCTAAAGCAAGCGACAGTAAAGTCATACTCGATGAGTTCCTAGACGCTGTAAAGGGGTGCATAGAAGGAAAGCTCGATATGTGGTGAAGTGGTTGTGGCAGCATGGTGCCTGTCTGCGTGTATTGCCCCAGCGATCCGGATGGAAGGATGGTGTGCAATGGATGTTGACATTTGACATTTGTGTTGCTTTGGTTAATGTCGGAGGGGAAGCTTCCTTTTGATGGCTAATCAAGGCTCTTCAACACTTCAATATCCCAAGCTAGGTATGCTGCCTTGCGCGGGAATGCTGACGTTTAGCACTTTGCTCCGAGAGGCGGGGTTTACAGTTGGGCAGGGGTGAAAAGAAAGTTCGGCTGGGGTGAAGCTAGCATATGCCGGATTTTCACGGATGACAAAGCGAATGCGGACAACCTACCGCAGGTCTCAAAGCCGACAGGACACAAAACCTCAATTAGGTTAGTATTCAGTTTAGTGTTATCTTTAGTTCAACAGACAGTTTGGTGCTTTGCGCTTCATAACGTCTCACTTACCACAGAAGTCATGAATCCAAGAGTAGTAAACTACATTGCTTTGATGAGGTCTAAAATTATGTGGGCGAAGTTCGACGAGTGCCTTGTTGGCGGTCAAGTTATGGCCGTGGCATTACTTCTTTCAAGCTTATACCACCTGCACCTCATACTTCCCAATCCAACATCACCAGAGCGCCTGGGACAATCGTATCATTTTCGCGCAACCACAGCTTTTTGCTCAGTCTCTCCGGACATGGAGGGGAAGCGACGTTAAAGGTGAACCCTGCTCGCGAATGCTTGACGTTCTCTCTGTCGGCTTCTCAGTCAATATGTCTGCAACAGGATCGCCGTCGGCCAGTCTGAATATTGTTGTGGCTTCGAGTTATTTCAAGAATACTGCTACGCATTTTCGCTTCCTTCATCCATGTCTTTTAAGCATATCATATCTGAGTGTATATAGCTGAATGAAAATTTAGAAAGGTGATACGCTCTTCTATATGTAAACATTTTTAATATATTAAGATTAAAATTTAAAAAATTTAAATTATTAAAACGTCTAGTCTATATTCTATATACTTTAAAAAAATATATAAAATTTTTAATAGAAAATAGTAAAGTTATTAAAGAGTTAAAAGTAGAGTAAAAGATTTTAATAATTACGAACGCTAATTTATTTACTCGCGATATCTAATTAAAAAGCGTAGTAACTCTAAATTTATAATTAGCTATATATATAAATTTAAGATTTTTTAACTTAACTCTATCTTATTCTATTATATATATTAATATTAAATAAAAATATTTAAAATAACTATATAGCTATAAATATAGTTATTTAATAGTTTTAAATAAAGTAATATAATTAATTATCTCTATATTCTTAATTATTAAAAAATTAGAAAATTAGCATTGAGACTAGTATCTCTCTTATCCAAAATTCTACTATAGATATATCCATTATATTATCGTTTTTATAATTATCTATATCGTTAAGTTAAGGCTAAAATTGCTTATATATATAGAATATTTAATATTTCTTTTTTCGAGTTTCTTACTAACGTATAGAAGGCCTTAAAATATCGTTTTCTTCACTATTTAATATTTATAAGAATCGTATTTAATAGTATATTCTTAATAAACTTATTATCGCTTTTATTATTTTTATTAAGAGCGTTAAAAAGAGTATTATATATTATATTATCGATAATCTTCTCGCGTTTAATATTTATATTACGTCTTATATAATTAAAAGAGAATAATTATTCGCGATTTTTTCGACTATAAGAATTAAATTAAAGGCTTTTATTGAGAATAAATTATAAATATATTAAGATAAGATATAGTATAATCTATTTAATTAATTTAATTTATTTATTAATTAGTTTATAATCTTAAAGACTCTATACTTTATAAAGATTAATAGAAAAAGTCTTTGCTATAAAGTCTTAGAATACTTATAAATTTATTATAATATATACTTTTTAAAGATTAGTAAATTTATATATAATATATTTATCTTTTTAGATAAAAGCGTTATTAATAAATATATAATATAAAGAAAGCGAGATTATATAGCCTTTAAAATTCGACTAATAATATAAATTTTTATTAAATATTCTAAGTAATATAGCGTTCTATCGATATACTATTTAAATCATATTCTTTATTATTATATTTATTAAAATAATATTAATAATACTTAATTCGAATAATTTCTTAAGAACGAAGTTCTTTCTTACTATAATCTATTCTCTAATCTAAAATCGATTCTTATTATAAATAATTATTTTATATATTATATCGCTAACGTTAGAAAACTCTATAAAAAGTAAGATATTATAATCTTATATTTATCTTTATATTCGCTAGATTTTAACTTTATTAAGAAGTTCTTTTCGATTTTTAAGATCTAGCTAAAAAGATATTTTAAGTTAGCGAAGAATATATTATTTAAATAATATTTAAAGCTAGCTATATAAACTTATAATATAGAGATTTATACTAAGACTTATTTTATATATATTAATATATTAATAAGCGATTATAAAGAGAAAGAAGAGAAGTTATATAAGAAAGATAAAGACTATTATTTAAATAACGAAAAAGTTTAAAGATAGAGTTTTAAGTTATATCTTAGCGTAATATAGAGAAAAAACTCTTATATCTAATTAGTATATATAAAAGAATAAGATAAAGCTAAGTTAGAAAATCTTAAATTTATATATATAATTAATTATAAATTCGTTAGATCTACGCTTTTTAATTAAATATTATAAGTAAATAAATTGGCGTTTATAATTATTAAAAATCTATAAAAATTTATATATAGAAGTCTTATACTCTAAAATAATCAGCTTTCTAAAAATATTATTACTTTATAATTTCGTAAATTATAGAGCTTAGTTTATACTTTCTAATACTATAAAAGTTATAAAGTTTAATTTACTATTAATAAATTAAATTAATATTTAAATATTATAATTATATTAAATATATCCGAGATTAAATAATAATTCTTTCATCTATTTATATAATTATTATTTCTCTATTACTCTATTAATTCTACTAATTTCATTAATATAAATATATTTATTCTCTCTATCTCTTACTCTCATATTATTAAGTCTATAAGATATATATATCTCTTTTACTTATCTCTTATAATCTCTATTAACACTCTTAAATTATTTCTTAACGAATTTATTATTATTAATAATTAAGATCGTAAGCGAGCTTAATAGCTATTTACTACTATTTATAAATATATTAAAAGACTCTTAAAAAGAGTTTAAATAAATATATTCTCTTCTATAGATTCCTTCTAAGCTAGCGATAATATCTTTTAATCTAATAATACTATCTTTTAAAACGCGTCTTTCTTCTCTATGTTAAGGAACGATCTTTAACGAGGCCTCGGTGGGTACGTATTCTATTGATATATGTAATAAAGATGTAGAATACAATGTGGCCTGCTGGCAGATATGTGCGTAGTGCCAAGCCACTAGTGCCTTGGCAAGGAATCCGTAACAGTGCCCACTAAGAAGAAGAAAAAGCAGCGTCCTCGCTGCACTCATTGGAGATGATGGAGATATGCCATGTGTGGTAGCCCTGTTTCTCTAACTCTTTCTCCGCTGTGGTAGAATCGAAAGTGCACCCGGTGTGCTGGCTGGTAGGTACATGCCGTGCGACATGGCTGATATGATGTGGCCATTAGGTGGGGTCACAGGTGGGCGTATTCCGTAATGGTAGTTGTCAGGGGCCGTGGGGCATGACGTGATTGATAGGGCTGTGCCTGGTGTACGGCAGGTGCAATGGCAGCCAATGGTCGGTAGGAAGTCGTAGCTTCGTGAGGGCTACTGCATCGATAACTCAGTGAAGAGATCGAGGCCCGGCGTGGTTTGTAGGGCTGTGGCTGTAGGGTCCGTGTAGGTGCTGGACTAAGGCGAGGTGGGCGTCTAAGAGAGACTGGAGATACTGCACTCAATGGGAGTGGTATTCTCTGTGGATTTCTCCGGTAGTGGGTGTCAGCACTGTGGTGTGCATGAAGGGAGGCATTGGTAGGGTCCGTGTAGGTGCTGGACGAAGGCGAGGTGGGCGAATGCAATAAGAAGGCTACCCTGATCAGAACCAGGGTGTTGCTACCATTGTTAAGGAACGATCTTTAACGAGGCCTCGGTGGGTACGTATTCTATTGATATATGTAATAAAGATGTAGAATACAATGTGGCCTGCTGGCAGATATGTGCGTAGTGCCAAGCCACTAGTGCCTTGGCAAGGAATCCGTAACACCTA